CTTTCCCTGAATGAGAACTTGCAGAGGTACCTCACTGCTATTCTGGACACATGCCCAGGCGCAGCGGCCCTGAGAGAACCATTTATGAATGAATGAATGAATGAATTCCTCTACCTGGGACCACAGTCAGAACTCTCTCTCCATCCCTTCCTCCACTTCCTTCAATTTTCTCTTTCTCGCTTCTTCTTGTTCCTCAACAGGGTCCTTCCCCTGCAGCCAAGGTGCTCAGCTTCCTGCCACCACCAGCCCCCAACACAAAATCCCATCTCTCCGTTCCTCCGCTCTACCTCAAACCAGTCCCCTTTCTTTCCAGCCTGCTACCAGTGAGTGGCTTTAAAGCTCAGCTCCAAAACCACTCTTCTATGAGGCATTTCGTCCCTCATTCCAGCCTTTATTCATTCAACAAACAGTTACGGAGCACGGTAGAGGCGCAGGTCCCGCAGGGATGCCCAGATGAATACATGGCTTGAGCTCTCAGTTGGGTCAGAGATGGGGCGACTGTGGACTCTGCGTCTCTGCAGGGAGCACGGGCGCTGGAGCTGAGATCCGTTGAGCAGAAAAGGCAGCAGGACGGCACTCACACCCCTCCCGGTTCTGCCTCCCATGGGTGTTCCAGGGCACCACATCGCGATGCTTTTTTTTGTGGGCATTTCCCCCTGGAGTGCTCTAAAATCATTTTTTGCTGTAAGCTGTCTTGGCTCCAAGACTGTCAGCTCGTTGAGAGCAGCAAGATCTTATGTGCTCTGTTACGGTGTCTCCTGCATTCTTCCCCCACCTCCACGCACCCCCCACCCCCCAATCACAGTTCCCTGCATTGCCCATTGAGTGGCGGGCAGTTGGAAAGCCCGTGGACAGCCTCACCCAGCACTGCACACCTCCTGTTTCCCCTCCAGCTCCAGGCTGAGCTTGGTCCCTTAGCTGTCACACCCCAACCCGGGCTGGATCAGCTGCAGCCCCAGGCACATTCCTTTATCTGTTCAGGCTCCCCCTGTACCTCTGTTTTCCAAACGCAGAAGCCACTGAGTAATTACAACCACTACTGATACTATTAACATTGGAAAGCTAACGTTTACTGAGTGCTTTCTGTTTGCTATACCCTGTTCCTGTACTAGAATAGACTCCATGAAGGCAGAGATTTTTGTTCACTGCTGTAAGTCCAGCACCTAAAAGAGTATCTAGTGCCAAGCAGGCAGAAATGAATGGAATCCTTAATATATATCTATCTATTTCATCTTCAGAACGACATTATGAGGTAGTGACGATTCTGTCCATCTTAGAGATAAAGAAGCAAGGCATGAAGGGTTATGTAACCTGCCCAAGTCCAGGCACCTAGTCCCTGAGGGAGTCAGGACAGGACCGGGGGATTCACTGCCAGGAGACAAGAGAAGGCAGGGCAGCTGGATGGGGAGCAGGGGGAGCCCATGGGGAGGACAGCCTGCACAGGAGGGAAAAGTGGGCCTGGGGCCACAGGAGGTGGTGGGGTGCTGCGCAGGGCACTAGGGTCTAGAAACGTGGACTAGAGCAGAGGGAGCGGGAGGAACTGGAGAGAAAGGTTCAGAAAGGAGACTGGAGAAGTCTGAGGAGACGGGACAGAAAAGAAAGGGATGATGTGGGGACACAGTACAAGACCCTGGGGGAAGAAGAGGTGGGGGGAGGAGGGGTGGGGG